AAAAAATAGTGCGCTTTTTCAAGTGCCCTCGTATGCCAACTGCATGCTCTACAATCTCAGTTGTGCGCTTTTTCAAGTGCAGTGAAGTGGCCACAAATGACTTGCTCTCTATGCAGACAGACCAGGGCAGGCCTCTCAAACGCGCGGCTCTCGAGCCACCGGTGGCTCTCCGGGCCGGGCGCGCGGCTCGCGGCGAGCCACCATGGCAAGCATAGGCGACTGGCCGGCAGCTGGCGCTGAGCAGAAAACCAACCGCTCCGCACCTCCGAAAGCCCATTCGGCTCGCTTCGACTGGTCCTTGTGCCCACAGCCGAAGTCACCGAGTCCATTTCAATAGTTTCGTGCGGCTCACCTCTCATTCGATTGATATAGGCACGGGTCCGACTTACTTGACATTTTTGTTACGCGGGCCGTCCTCTATGTTGCACGCACGGATCGCATTTTCTGATTGACTGCTTCCGAACTCAGCCGGCCGCTGCCCTGCCTGTCCCATTGAGTGCCGGCTGGACCGCTCCTCCCAGCAGCAGAGCGGTGGCGCAGTGGATAGCGCTGCCGCTTCTCGATAGTGCGGGTGCGGGTTCGAGTCCGGTCGGGAGCCAACAAATTTTACAAGTTTCGGCTCTCAAAGTCGGCACTTCTGCTTCCTATGCGCTGACGTCTCAGCTTGGACAGAGACGCTAGGCCAGTGCAGCGCCGCGCCCGTCACCCGTTCCACTGGCTCACCGCCGCTCGCCTTCGCTAGCAGACGCCGGCCACAATCACTGAGCTAGGAAACGAATTTCGCGCCAAAGTAACCGAGAGGGAGCCGTTGGATCGCAGATGCACGCGGCCGCCCAATTGGCGTGTGTGCTGGGTGGCCTACCTCGCCTGTGGACCGGCGTAGAAGCGTGTTTGAGAGGCCTGGACCAGGGCGTCAAGGAACCCCTCCGCCTTATTCAAGAGGTACGAACGAGATGGAATTCTTGTTATGAAATGCTGCAAAGGTTTTTACATTTGTCCGAGTATGTAAGCAGAGTGCTTTTGAAATGCCAACTTGACAAATCAACCAAAAGCAATCCGCCGCCGATGGTCACAGCCACGCAGCTAGAGGCTTTGACTGAAGTAAACACTCTCCTAAAGCCACTGGCCACCGTGACAGCGGAGGTCTCTACTGAGAAAACTGTGTCCATTAGCAAAGTGATTCCCTTGACCAATTTCATAAAGA